TCTGGGAATTTACGAGAAGCTAATGGAAATTCCTGGAAAGGGCAGAGAAATCTCAGAAAGGCCCTGGAGTTTCTGGCAACAAAAGTTCCCAGCAAGCCCTGAAAACCTCTTAGGTGGGCTCCGGTCCCGCTGTCCTTGGAAAGTGCTGGTAAATTCCTAGAAAACGGGGAAATTCATAGCAGGGTCCTAAAACCTTACGGAGAATCCCCGGTGCTCCTGAGTGTTTTGGGGATGTGCAGCCTGCTCCCACCCCAGGGCTGCCGCCTGGGGGGCCCGATCCTGCTCCAGCTCCTCTCCCTGCTCTGGCAGCCCTGGACTGGGGGAATAGTTTGGCAGCATGGAGGGACCCACAGCTGGCAGGAGGGGAACAGCTTCCCAGCGTGGAAAGGAGCACCAAAAAGGCTGGGACCTGATGGACTTTCCTATTCCCGCTCCCCAGAGCCACCTGGGAAGCCCGTCCTGAGCTCCGGCTGGTCTGAGAAAGACACCATCCCTCCTCTTTCCTCGGGGAGATATCTTCACTGAGCCAGGCAAAAAAGTTGCCGAGGGCCCCCAGAAATAATGGTGCAATTACCAAAGTAATTATCCTGGCTGCTGTGCAAATCCTGCCCAGTTAATGTCAAGAGCGAGGCGGGGGGAGTGCACGGCTCCTGCCTTAATTAAACTTCCCCTGACCGGTGGCTGTGGAGAAGCTCTTGTTATTGCTTGTAGTCCCGGAAAATAAATCTCTCCTGCTGTCGGGAATATCTCCCCATCCCCCGGCTGTGATGTGGGCAGCTCACATGCAGGAGCAGGGAGGGTGGAGGTGGCATCACGGGGCAACAGTGAGGATGGAAAAGCAATCGGGTCCCCCACAGCCCCTTGGGTTTGTGGTCCCTGTCCCTGTCCAAGAAGTCCCATCATGGGGACAGAGCTGCATGTGGAGGGGACGTGGCTGGAGGCATCTGACGGGGAGCACAACAGGGATGTGCTGAGGTGGGACTGGGGAAAAGGGGCCCTGATAGCGGTTGCTGGTCAAGAGAAACCCCAAGGCACAAGAAAATGATGGGGGAGGTGATGAGGGGGGTTGGATGGAGGAGAAGTGGCAAGGGGAGACTGGGGCACGGCTGGGGCTGACCGCAGCAGAGGAAAAATCCTGGGTTTCACCCTCACTGTCTGCTTTCCAGCTTTCTCTGTGCTGCATGAAGGGGTTGGACGCTTTATGAGGTTTGTTTGTTGGTTTGTTTTTTTTTTAAGAGTGTATAATTTTTTAAAGGGCTTTTTAAGGCAGGATCAGGGGGACCAAGCATCCCTCTGGGAGGTGGGGGGGCATCGGGGTGCAGGGGTGCCTCTCCCCAGCTCTGCCTCCTCCTCACAGGTGGTTTATGCAGCCTCACAGGACTGCATTAAAATGCAAATTTGTCCCTGCCTGCTGGGAGCAGATAGTAAAACGCCAAACAGGAAAGAGGCAGCGGAGAATAAACAGAGGGCAGCGAGAGAGGGGAGCTGGAATAGAGGCTTCTTTTTAATTATTTTTCCTCTTTCTTTTTCCTTCAGTGAGATTTGGCTGTTTGGTGAGATTTTATTTAATGGCATCTGAAGCAACAGGGAGGAAGGGTACCAGTTTCGGACTAGCTGGGTGCAGGGACACAAGTGGCCAGTGGCCTATCCCGGTGGGTGCCACCAGCCCCCGGCACAAGGGTGGGCTGCAGCCTAAATCGCACCATCCCCAACTCCTCTTTGGGTCTTTTGGTTTTTCAGTTCCACGTCCCAGCTGGTCATTCCTGATGGGAGAAGATAAAATCGCAGTAATAGGAGCGAAGAGGACCAGCTGGGGAAGGGACCAGGCACCGTCAGACTCCACCGGAGCCTTCACAGTTCCCATTTTCCTGGGGTTCGTCCCCAGCGGATTGCCTGCTGCCTCCTGCTGCATTTGCTGCCAGGCTTCAAGGGCATCAGGAGCCCAAATAAACGTTGGTAAGCTGCTTCCCTCCTGCTCATGATGCCTGGGGAGGGGCTTTTGAGGGCTGGGATGGTGGCTGATGCTCAGGGGCGCACGTGTGTGTATTTATAGGTGTCTGTACACGCATACACGCACCCTTGCACCTGAGCAAAGCCCTTTGCATCAATCCATACAGGCACTACACACATACATCCGTTATATATATATATAAAAAAATATATATGCACACATATATTATATATGCATATATATACATATGTATAAAGTATAAATATATACGTATGTATGAACTATAAATATTTCCATATTTATATATCAATAAATAGATAGCTATACTGCTATATAGACGTTTTGGCGCTCTCCATTCAAAAGCGAAGCCGTTCCGAGCAGGTCCCTCCCCCTCCTCGCTGCCCTCGCCCAGCACCGCACTGTCCCCACCAGCTGTGCAGAGGCAGTGATGCTGGCAGGGGCGAAGCGCTCGGATGGAGGTGCCTGGGGGGGGAGATCCACTCTTAGGGCATGAGCTGGGGATGCTTGGACACGAGAGCATCATCAGCCCACGCAAGCAGCTCAGACTCCCCTGGTCCACGGGTGCTGCCTTCCCAAGGGCCCTTGGAGACCCAAGCCAGATCCATCAGCTGAGATGGGAAGTGATGGGCTGGAAAACCGCCGCTGACGC